CCTTGATATGCCTTGAGATGGCACCATCTTTTTTTATGCACGTTTGTGCATTAAAAAAAAAAAAAATAAAACTCAACAATCTGTACAGTAGCACACATTGTTTCTTTCTACATTTCCCTCTGCCATAAACCTTTACCTTGGTTACTCCTTCCCATCAGCCTCCTTCTACAAGTATTATCATTCTGATTTCTGTATGTACATTCCTGAAACCTCACTGCATTGGAGATTTCTTTGTATCTTATGAATATAATAACAGTGGAACAAAAAGTATGTGTTTCTAAATGTGTTTGGTAATTTCTTTATAGTGATTTCAGGACAAACACAGAATAAATCCTTCTTTCACACTGAAGAATTGCGATAGCAAAATATTTCCAATAAGATTATAAAGAACAATAACAGGAAAAGCTTGATAAATCCAAAAGACGAAGAATGTTTTTGTGGATGAAGGGATGGATGCGTTAGTATATGCATACATTTGTTAACATTAGATTTCTAAAAGGAATTTACACCACAGCAACTGGAGAAGCATCTTCTAGACAATAAATTAAAATAGTGGAAATGTGTTTTCCCTCAGGAAGAGAAATTCTAATCAAATTCAGATTTCTTCCTAGAAATATTACAGCTCTCTGAGATAATCTGTTGTAAAAACAAGTAAAATACAACTAATAAGAGAATTAAAAACACCACACAGAATTTCTTGTCCTTTTAGCAAATTCTGAAAGCTCTTTTCTTTGCAAAAAAGGAAAAAGAGCTGACAAAGAAAAGCCTGTCCTCTCCTCCATTTACCAGCTTTCCAAACGGCACATCTGACTGCCATAAGAACGCAAAAAGAAGGGGGAGTGGAATTTAATTCAAGAGCAGTACAAAGTCCAGCTACCGCTTTCCTGCTGTTTCAAAGCATTTCATTATTTTGCTTAATAAGTTCATCTCCTCAAGAATTTTCTCTTCACCTTATATTATTAAAAGTAATAAGTTTTTCTGGATTGGGGGTTTTCCCAACAGAAAAACCAATTTATGTATGTCCTTCAATAATGACAGGAAAAGATTATTTCCCATTATATTGCACACTTTTCATATCACCACCACAGCTTATCATTCAATAAATGTTACTCTGCAACTTGTTCCTTTCCTTGAAGAAGTTTAATTTTTGTATTAACCTGTTTTTCCCAGCCAACGCCTTGCTAGAAAGCATTCCTACAGCAGCAAAATTAGTTTGCTAAAGAAACCATTTAGAAATCTCTTGTCACTGATAATATTGTCTTCAGTTAATAAAAGCACATAAAGTCAGTTTACAGCGAGTTCACTGACACACACATGCATACAGACATAAGCACTCATTCTTAATAACACATTTTATACTGTGAATGCATCCTTTTAAAGCAAAAGGTGAATTCAACATTTATATCCAATTACAAGTACATAGCTGTGTTCATGCAGCAGATCCCAACCTCTGGCACACAGCTGGTGTGAGCAGCACCAGTGTCAAGGTGACTCACCCAGCCCCAGGGACCTGCCTCAGGTTGGAAGCAGCAACAATGCTCCCAGAGAAGCAAAACTGCTGGTGCTGCTCAGGTTGTTGCATCGCAGAGAGATGCAGGCTGGGGAAGGGAAGTGAGGACAGCCCAGGGATCCATGCTGGCCTCACCTAGATGAGAGCAGACGGACACATATCTAACCTGCTGTCATGTGCTCCTCAAGCTCCAACAGCCTCTGAAGTAATCTCAGCCCCTATCCCACTGCTCATCCCATGTCCTAACATCACACCTCAAAAAGTCACCTGCAGAAGGGACAGAAGGGTGAGCTGGAGAGAATGGAAAGGTGTCCCAGAAATGGGGAGAGAGTCTTAACTGAAGATACAGTCTCCTTCTCTGAGGCTGCAAGTGAGGAGAAAGTCTGCTGCCAAACACCAGCACCAGACCTAACTGGCAGCCCCCACATGCCTGTGGATAAAGGAGGTGAGTGAGAAGTGGCTTTTGCCTTCCTGGATAACTTCCTCCTTTCTCACTGCTTCAGCACAAGGATGGATGCACGGATAGTTCATCGCTGGCTCTGCTGTACACTCTCCCTTTCTCCTTGCCTCCACTGACCTCACTTGATAGTTACCTAGCAGATAAATGTGTATAAGTACATAATGTTCTTCCAGCCCCTGTCCCTCTCTCCCACCATCCCAGACAACAGGATACAACTAGATCTGCCTTCTTGTCCCCTTGGAAGCCCCCTCCGGCAAGAGAGGAAAGAGCTGAATTTATCCCTTTGGTTGCCAGAACAAAGTCAGAAAATACAGTTATGTACACTGGGCAGACTCTCAATGGGTGTAAATTTGTACAGCTTCACCGAGGTTTATGGGAGTATGCCAATCACTGTTAGCTTGAGATTTGCCCTACTATTAATGGAGATGACCATTAAGTACCTTAAATGGTGAAACAAAACTAAAAACCAAATGCAGCAGGGGATGCATCAAGATAGCATGAGCTTTTAGGGAATTAAGTGACAGCTATTTAAGGAAGGAAAGCCAAAAGTGCCACCTTTTTTTTTTAGTATAAAAATATTAGCAAATCAAATGAGGAATACAAAAGAGAAGTCTCACTAACTATTGCTCGTATAACCATGGAAGCTAATGTATGTGGATTTATATGTTCTACATTTTGAAGCTATTGCAGTCTTATTTCATTCTGAGTGAGCCTGTTTGGTTAATTCTTATAAAGGTAGCAAGAAATACCTTGTTCCCAGTCTGCCAGTAGAATTCTCTAATGGCTCGCATCATGACTACTCCGACTGGAAAGGTCGCGTTTTCCACCTCCTTTCCTGTAGACGTCTTTATAAAATCAGAACCTGAAAGGAAGTAAAAAGCTTTATGGTAGTTTTTAGAACAAGAGCCACTCTGCACATACATAGTTCACACTCTTCAAAAATGTCTTCATGCTTCACAGCAATTATGAAGCACTCCTCTATACGTATATCCCTATGGTGTCAGTGCTAACCTTGCTCTGATTGAAGCTAGAGCAGGAGGATGAAATTCCCATCCAGTTTCAAAGCAAGTCAGATATCCCAGTGGCTAAATGAATATCTCAGCTCTTAATTCTTTGCTTCAGCTATAAGATCAATAATATCTTCAGGACAGTCCAACATAATATATATTCCTGTACAGACACTCAATATACGTGTATATACTTTAACAGGAATGTGTCTGACTAACCACATCAATTGAATTAATTTTTTAATTGAACTTTGCATCTACTTAGTCTCACATTTGACAGTCTAGTATTCTATCTCCCGCAGCTGTTTAAAGTGAAAAGAAAGAAATCCCACATATATTTATGAAACCAGCTGTGTAATACTGTAAACAGGGGAAACTCCCTTCTTATGCATTTGTCAATTGTAACATTGCAAATTACTATACTTAAAGACATAGTCTGATATAATGCAGTAGCAAGGTCAAAACATCTGTGTTCTTTAAAGAAGAGTTAGTGTTTGCTTATTTTTTTCCAGTTTCTCGCTTGTGAACAATATTTTCCACTGCCTGTCCTAAATACTTGTGCAGTGTTCTTCTACATTCTTGCTGGTTTGGGTTGGCTTAAAGCAAATCCTGCAGCACAATGTAACAAAAAGCTAAGAAACTAACAAAACAAATTGCCTTGCAGTGTATGATCCTGCATTGACACAGCACAATGACAAAACTTCTTTAATTGCATTAGGGCCCACTTCATCCCTGGGAACCTACTTCATAGAAAAAGTGTACTGTGGGATCATTAATTATCAAAAGTAATCGGGAGAAGAAGAGGGATAATTCAAACATCGTGTAGTAGTGCATCATCCACTTAACTCAATTGGAACCGCATCTGCTTCCACTTCAAATTTGGCTTAGGGTCCATTTTGTCTCTTATTTGAATGATGATGTCTCTACAACATCCCCTAGAGTAAGCAAGGGAAGTTTCACTATGGGCTCAAACTAAAGAGTTGCCTAGACTACATTTTGACGGTGTGCTGCGACACCCTCCAGAGACCCGTCTTCCTGACGAAGGTTGGCACACAGCAAGGTCTCAGCCTGATGGGAAGTTAAGACAAAGCCAGGCATGTTTCTGCCTGTACCCTATCTGGTATCACTAACATTGATCTTGTAAGATCACGGTTTTCTCTGTAGGCTTCCTGTCCAGGCACTAACTCAGCCCACTGGTGATTAAATTGCACCCTCAATGACAATTCCCATTCAAAACAGAAAGGACTATTCAGGAAAACAATTCTAACTCCAGAGAAGGTGCAAGGAGCAAAAGAGGCAATTAATAGTTGATTGGGCTTTGCAAAGAATGGAGCACATCTGAGAAACAATTGAGTTACATATTTCAGAGCTACTCCCTTCCAGAGAGACACTACGGACATCTCATAGTCATATTAAAACAAGTAACAGTGGAAGTGAAACTTCAACATCGCCAAATTATATTTTTAATTTCCCTTTCGAAATGTAGCACTTTAAGTCCTTCAGTGCAATAGTTTTAATTTTTTCTAGTATAAGGTAAGTCAAAGCTTTTATAAGTCTTATAATTACAAGTCTCTATGGTACAGTTTCATTAAAAACTTTCATTAAACAACAGCTGCCCTTGTATATGGTCTTCTAATCAATTTGGTCAAACAGAATGACTTCTAATCAGCTGTTGATAAAAATAGAAGATGAAATTTTAATTCTAATAGATTAACCACAAACTCAAGATAGTCTTCAAAATCCATCTAGCTCTATTCTCCAGTGGATTTAACGACTATTCAGCAACTCATTACTAAATAGAACAAGATGAACATTTTCCAGTTCATTAAAGAAATGTACTATGTATTTTTGCATTGTCCTCATGATTCGTTACAGGGAGTCTTAATTACAAGATAATGGATAATGGTTATTAAATGCAGACTCCAGTAATGAAGCTCTATTCATTTGCGAGCCTCAGAGACTGCAAAGAGGGGAAAATAAAATTACTAGCTTCAAAAGATTAACGGATCAAATTATTATTCAATTTTGAAAATCTCATTCAGACTTCATAGAAACAAGAAAAGATTAAAAACTAGTATTAGTACAAAAGTAGTACATTTATATATTTATTTTTAAATAATATCTTAAGGCTATTACCAGAATAATCAGCTTTAGATGTGATTATTAGACAAACATACAGCCAATTTAGTAGCACCCTCTAACAATGAAAACAATACATTTTTATTTCCTGAACAAATTCTATTTATGACACAAGAGCCTGCTAGCAGGATTGCATGCAGCCTTTTGCAGAAGGCAGAAGATGCACGCTAGCAGAGCGCGCCACAATGGAAGGTGCTATTGACATACAGATTTCAGGAATGAAAAGGGGGACTTAAAAATCAACCACTGCTGTAAAAGGCACCTCATTAAGTAGAGTTTATGCCAACCTTGCAATAATGAGGGAGTTTCACTAAGTCTAGTTCTTATTCAAGTTTTCAGAAACAAGGCTAAGGAATGACAT